GCACACGAGATTTACTGTGTGGTGGATGTCCTCTCCTGGGTGGGATGGGTGGGTATTGGCCCTGAAAAGCCCCTATGGGGAGTGGTCAATTAACCTATGTATGTATGTATGTATGTAACTTCAGTGGCACTTTTGATTTCCTGCAAGGTTAGTTTCCAAATGGGTACAGACTCTGCCATGTTTATATACTCAGCCTCAACTTCCATTGGTGATTTTGTGTCAGCAATGCTCCATACTTCCTGTGTATCCAGTATATCTTGTTGAACTAGGGGGAGGTAAGCTTGGCTAAGTGGGTCAGCCATTTGCATCTCTGTACCCTTTCTGTAGGAAACATCTAAGTCAAATTTCTGTAGATGTAACAGCATCCTCTGCAATCGCTTTGGTGCACTCAGTAGACTTTTTTTCATGATAGACTCCAAGGGTTTGTGATCAGTGTCAATAAAGATCTTTCTGCCGTAGACATAGCCCTCAAATCGCTCAACTCCAATGACAATTGCTAATAGTTCCTTTTCTATCTGAGCGTAGTTAGTTTCTGTAGGCATCAGAGCCCTGGAGGCATATGCTACAGGGTGTTCATCTTGCATCAAGCACGCCCCAAGGCCACTCATAGAGGCATCACACTGGAGTACGGTCTTCTTTTGAGGGTCGAAGAACTTGAGTACTGGTGCCTGGGTTAAGACCTGCTTCACTTGATCTAGACACTGGCCGTGGACTTCTTTGTCCCAGACAAATTCATTGTCCTTCTTGGCAAGCTCTCTCAGTGGTTTGGCCAAATCTGCTAGGTTGGGAGCAAACTTCTGCATGTAATTTATCATGCCTAGTACTCTCTGGACACCTTCCTTGTCAGTAGGAGGCAGCATTTCATTGATAGCTTTCAGCTTGTTTGGATCAATACAGAGGCTGTCCAATGATATGATGTGGCTCATGTAGCTGACCTGCTTCTGTCTGAACTGTATCTTCTCTGAGTTAAGCTTAATGCCCTTTTGCTGTCAACGGATGAACACCTCTCACTGGTTGTGGTCGTGATCTTTGAGTGCTTCCTCGTCAGTGTCCCCTGCTCCAAACACCAGGATGTCGTCTGCTATAGCCTTCTGCCCTGGTAGGCCTTCAAGTGCAATATCAATCCTCCTCTAAAACTCCTCTGGAGCTGGGTATACACCGAACGGCAAGCAAAGCCATCGATATCGTC